CAAAATAATTATCTTTAAAAAAGCATCATATGACCCCTTTAAAAGCACCTCTTCCATTCAGTAAAAGAGAGTATTAAGACTATTTCTGAGGCGAAGTCTGCGTATTTTTCAATATAAGCTATTTTCAGAATATTTCCGCCTTCCATGAAATCTCAAGATATTACCGGACTCAAACAATGAATGATGACTTTACATTTGTAATCTTTACTTACCATAAACCGTCTTTCACTCGCACTCGCTTCCATCTGAAGATGCTGAGAAAATGGCGGCTTCTTGCACTGGTGTCGTCCGATGTTAACGTGACGTGCGTGCTCTCTTTCACGTCCGCGTTCCCAACCCAGCACCGCTGGGTTATAGATCAAGACCAATTTTCAACCCAAATTGGGTTAAAACCACCCAACTTCCTTACCCAGCGGTCTCAACCCAGCATTTGGGTTGAAAAAACAACCCAGCGGTTTTTAGAGTGTAGGGACCCGGTATCACATAGAGAACTTACACCGGCCGGTCACAGTCTCACGGACACAAACTCGTCAGTTCTGATCTTAGACAGAGGGTGCAGGGTAAATATCTACCTTAATGTTGGCCGCGCTCTGTTGCTCATTACAAAAAGCATAGTTTTTGTATATTCAGGAAGTGATAGTCAGAAATCGAAAAAGATCTCAGACGATGTGCCCCATGCTCGATTCATTGAACCGTCCGTATGATCTATCCTGAACACAGATTTGTGGTAATACCAGACTCCACTTTAATCTACTAGAAATAATGAGTTCAGAAAAGATCAGAATAAATCAAATATAACATTTTATTTGTCAGGTAAGAATGTATCATGCCAATTACATAATTAAACAATTAGAACGGGCAGTTCTATACCCTTTTTAGGTGGGCTACAGCCCCCCTGAATTATCGGGCCAGTACTGCTTCCTCAGTTTATCCTTCTCTTGTGTTTTAAAGCTTGTCAGTTTAACTGATTAACTGTTTGAGGTTTAAACATTAAATTGCAAATGAGCAAGGAGGGGAGTTTGGGAAAGGTGGTGTCATTTGCTCTGTTTGAAGATCTCTTCTCCAGATTAATTTCATTGTTTTGTTGCATGGCATCTGTTTTGTGCGAGTTCCTGTGATTTGGTTTCATGGGGAAATAATTTTGGTTCTTACATAGTTTCCTGATACAGTGTTCTTGATATGGGAAAGGGGTAACTCTGTGAATTAACTCCATGTGTATATATATCCACTGTATTTTATGAACCTAGACCTTTTGAAGATGGTAACACAGAAGACTGTGGAGACATGATTTAATTATTCATTGCACATATGCCTGTGGATACAAATATGATTATTCTGGTGGCAATATTGTCAGAGAAACCTAAATATCTGTGCCCTGAACATTTGCTTATTCTTGCTCTTGACTACAAAACACAAACTCACATTGACCAGATTTGTCAGATGAGGAACATACAAGGGTATCAGGCTCCTCCTCTACAGGTCACATGAAAATATATCTAACGAGAAGTTGTTTGCAGAACCAAAAGTGGAAGAAAATCTGAACAAATCTGAGCAGCTCGACTCCTGGTTCGTCTGTATTGCTTGCAACAGCTTGTTTTAATATAAATGTGTTGATTTATAGATATTGTTATTCATTACACACATATATTGAGACTGTTTTGAACTGTCTTTATAGATATTGTTATTCATTACACACATATATTGAGACTGTTTTGAAATGTCCATCTTTGTTCTCCAGGAGGGATTTTCATGGGGTTCTTGTCATCGGTCTGTATTCAGATTGAAAATGGCGACAGGGCCTGAAACACTTCCTGGTATGAGACTGTTTACTCTGTTAAAACAAAAGGACAAAAGTACATTTGTTTGTATTGTCTTAGTGTTAATATTTCATTTAGTTCTTAGTTTGGGATAATGTTCTTCATTTGTTTCCTCTAAATGTCATTTGACCTGACTGACTGAAATTTTAGGTTTTTAAGTAATGTTTGAGTTTTGTTTTCTTTCTCATGTGTGATAGCAAAGGATATTTCATTTTAAATGTGTGGAAATATAATACACTTGACTTGACCTTATTTTACAATCATACTCCATATTTTCTGTCTATTTCAGAGATGCTAGTGATCAGCAGCTCCAGTCCAGATGATGCAGTGATCCGGATTCTTCTGATGGGCAGAAACTCTTCTGGGAAAAGCTCATCTGGAAACACAATACTGGGAGAAAGAAAGTTTAAAGTCCAAAAACATAAGAAGAAAAATGAGTCGGAAGTGTGTGAGGGTCAAACTCAAATCGGTGGGAAGCAAGTTGCTGTGATTGATTGTCCAGATCTACTGGATCCAGGTCTGAATAAAGAGCAGCTGGAGAAGATGAAAGAGCAGCTTGTCTCTGGATGTTCAGCAGGTCTCAGTTCAGTTCTGCTCACTGTTCCTCTGGAGGAACCTGTGCAAAATGAAGAAGAGATCCTGGAATTTATTAAGTGTTTATTTGGTGCTGAAGTGCAGAAACACATCATGATTCTGTTCACACATGAAGATGAACTGGATGATCTGGATCAGACCATTGAGGAACATCTACAAGATCATGCAGATCTTCAGCGACTGGTGACTGAATGTGGAGGAAACTTCCACTCTTTCAATAACAAATGTAAAGTGAAAAGTCAATTTGAAGAACTACTGCAGAAGATTGAAGGAATGATGATGGAGCACGGAGGGAAATTTATGATGAAACAAAGGAGAAGAAGTGAAAGCAAGGACACTCCTGATATCAACTGTAAGATAATTGTTTTTTGTAAATTGATCAATAATACATTCAATGTGTTCATTAAGTATAAGACATATTTATTCAGCTCAAATTAATTAAGAGTATCTGAAAATGTGACCTGTGCTGGCAAAATGAGTCACAATGAGCAAGTTTTCAAAAATGAGTT